GGGGGGGGGAGGGGGAGAGGGATGGGGGCTGGGAGCCCGCGAGCCAGATCTGCTCAGAGGCGTCCTTGGAACAGAGATCCTGGTGGCTCGTTGCTCAGCTAGCTACTTCACCGCGATGCAACAATCTTTAGCTCTCTGGTCGTGGACGGACTTTTGTTGAGTGCAGATGGTTAGACAGTGGGGGGGGGAGGGGGAGAGGGATGGGGGCTGGGAGCCCGCGAGCCAGATCTGCTCAGAGGCGTCCTTGGAACAGAGATCCTGGTGGCTCGTTGCTCAGCTAGCTACTTCACCGCGATGCAACAATCTTTAGCTCTCTGGTCGTGGACGGACTTTTGTTGAGTGCAGATGGTTAGACTAGTTTCTCGGCCACACAGGACTCTTCAGCATGAAGAGTAACCATACTCCGTCGCGAAGTGTCTTGTGTATCCGGAAAGTCTTCAGCTTCCTACGCCAGGAGAGTCCGGTTCGAAGTCACCTCGTTTCCCGTTGTTATTTTCTGGAACTACCGTGGGACAGCAGCTGGTCATATTGTCCACTCCGGGTATTCCCTCCCTCCCTCCCAACGATCAGGAAGCACTGCCCGTCCCCTCGCTCTTCTGGTTCCCACCCCTTCCCAGAGTCCCACCGAACACCCTACAAGGCCAGCAGTGCGTGAGCTGGAATCACACCCGGTGGGCCACCTTCTTTCTTCGTTCACACCATCTCTCTCTCTGATCTGACGCCTACTCCACATCGAATTCACGACTGAAAAAGTTCTCGCTCTCGCTCTCTCGCCGCCCCCAGGACTTAAAAGAACACCCTGCGCCGCCCTCAGAGGGTCCTGCCGACAGGAGCTAATTGGGGCGAACCGAAGTGTGTGTGGGGGGAGGTCGCACTCCCAGCATCTGCACCGCGTGGAGGCTGGCCAAACTCCGAGCTTGAGAATGAGGAGGAACTCCCTCGTCTGGCGAGGGTCGAAGCGCTCCCCGGAGCCGAGGTGACCTTCCGCCATCAGGCCAGCGCCTCCAGTCGGAGCCCCGGTCGCTGGGAGCGGCGCCGGGATCCGAAGCCCGCGGTCCGTTGGCGTCAGAGCGGAGACAGACGTCACTGAAGCCAGCAGCGATGGAATCCCCCGGGGACTCGACTGGCACCTGCCCCGGGCAGGAAGGCTCCTGCTCCGGCTTGTTCCCAACGGCCCGGGAAGGAAGGCAAATCGGCAGAGCCCCGCGCTCCGCCGCGGCCGTTCTCTCGGAGGGCAGACCGGCCTCCCCCCGCTGGCCCCCTAGCCCGAGCACCCAAGCCTGGCCCGCCGGCCGGGGGGGG